AAAAGGCACGCCCATCAATCAAGTGCCTCTGCTCCTCCACAAATTCCTTCTCCATTCAGATGAGGAAAAGAGAATTTTAAACCATGGCAGGGCATACCAAAAAAATACGGAAAGGGGAAATACCAAATGCAGAATTAAACTGGAGACCAGATAGGTAGGCAAACAGATTGGTCTTTCCTCAAGGAAGATTTCTTTTTTTGGGGATGAGAACTAAAGTCACATCATGTCATTATGTGCAAAATAAAAGCCAGTCTGAAGCAGCTCAGTTTATTCTGGGGTGCCGACATCACAGCACAGAATTTCCAATCTGCATTTGATATTAAGCAATTAAAGAATGTGTTATACCATCCATGGCACCGATTCTCAAATGCTAATGTTCGCCTCTGCAACCAAGGGAATAATGACTAGACTCTCCCACATGTGACTGTGTGTGTCTGTGTCTTCAAGTTTCCTGTCCACTTATGGGGACTGCAGGAATTCTTTAGGTCAGTGATTCTCAACCTGTGGGTCCCCAGGTATTTTGGTCTTCAACTCCCAGAAATCCTAACAGATGTCAAACTAGGTGGGATTTCTGGGAGCTGTAGGCTTCTTGCAGGAACACCTAAGCAAGTGAGAGTCCAAAAGTGGCAGGCAAAAACCTGGAACCTCAAGCCATGGCTGATACAAACTGAACAAACTGTGTTCGGGCACCACGAGATGCAGAGACAACCTTTAGAAATGAGGCCACATGAGAGTGTGGAGAAGAGCAAACCACAGACCACTTATTACAATGCAGGCTGAGCCCTGCCACATGCACAATGGAGGACCTTCTTATATCAACACCAGAGGCACTCCAAGTGGTCAGCTACTGGTCAAATGACATTTAATATCATGCCAAGTTTTTAAACTCTGTGTTTTTTTTTCAATACAACTTCACCCTTGGTTCACTTCAGATATGATAAATAATTAATTAATATTGATCTACCTGCAGTAATTCAAATGGGTGTATTCTACATGGGACCAGCCACTGGATTTAGGCTCTTGTGTTGGGGCAATCTGTGACTTAATTTGTGACCTATAAATGTACACTACTGCTAAAACGGGGGCATTGATATATCAATGCATTTGTGGGAAACAATGCATTACTCCATACATTGAAAAGACCTTGCTTGCTTCTCTATCTGTGCAGTATAATGATTACAGTGATAAAGAGACATCACACTCCATGACTGTCAGTTTATCCGAACTGAGAATTCATATATTGAATTTTTTTAAGTTCTATTGTCAAAGGCTTTTGTGGCCAGAATCACTGGTTTGTTGTAGGTTTTTGGGGCTATATGGCTATGTTCTAGAAACATTCTCTCCTGACGTTTCACCTACATCTATGACAGGCATCCTCAGAGGTTGTCACTTAAAGGCACAAATATACACAACATCAGTAGCAGTCTGTTCCACACTACTCTGAAGAGAATTGTGTTGTTTCTTTATGAACTTCTAGCAGGCAAAACGTCAAGAGAGAATCCTTCTAGAACATGGCCATATAGCCTGAACAACCTACAACAACCCAGTTCTAGGACAGGTTTGTTAGGTGCATTTGCCTTCAATACAAAATGAAGTGTGACACAATTCTCCTGGCTGTTTTTCCACTCATAAATCAAGTCCTGTATGGAGAGACACAACAGCACAGTATTTGCATCATCTTTCAGTGCTTTGGAGCAATTACAGGTATGGGATCTTCCTTCACCACCCGCAAAGTTGATCCATGCTTAAAAGACAGCATACTATAGATCTATAGTCCCACAAGCTTTTTAATGAAAAAAGGGATTACTATTCAAAGGGAAACATACATTGAAAAACCTGCAACTCAAAGGGAATTATTGTGAAGAGCAAAGACCAAACTGGGATAAATGGTACTGTAACATTCAGAGAATATGTGTTAGGTAGTGATGTTCTACAAAATGAAGCTAACACTGTTGAGATAAGAAATAATGGACTAGAAAGTCCACCTGATGCTGTTCTGCTTGTTCTAAAAATACCAAGAGATGCTGTCATCTTGTGAGAGGGAGCCATCCCATAATTTTGGCATCGGCAGGAACAGCCAGATTCCAATTATCTTTACTGAATCACACGAGCAGCATAATGGCCCTTAAAAAGCATAAGAGAAAATCTCAAATTATGGATGGCCTATTACTATATTACATTATGTTGTAATGTATCATATTAGGCATTCACAAATCCACTCCGCAGCTTGCCAGGGACTGGTCCAGGGCTCTCTGGGAAGCAGGATGATGCCCGGCAGCAGACACATCTCCTCCCAAAGGAACCCGTTTTTTGCTGCGCTAGCAGTTCATAAAGAAACAACACCATTCTCTTCAGAGTCGAGTGAAACAGACTGCAACTGATGTTGTGTTTGTGTATGTTTGTACCTTCAAGTGGCCTGTAAATGTATGGTTATGCCATAGGGTTATTCAAGGAATACTTAAGAGACGGTTTTGCCAGTTCCTTCCTGTGAAATGTAACTTACAGCAGCTGGTAATCGTTGGTGGTCTTCATCTAAGCCAGTGGTTCTCAACCTGTGGGTCCTGTACATTGATAGGAATGTAAAAGCAGGAAACAGGGCAGAATCAAAGACTGTGGGAGAATTTGTCCAAGGGCAGTGTTTCTCAACCTGTGGTCCCCAGGTGTTTTGGCCTACAACTCCCAGAAATCCCAGCCAGTTTACCAGGATTTCTGAGAGTTGAAGGGTAAAATATTTGGGGACCAACAGGTTGAGAACCACTGAAAGCTATAACTAAGGCTGGCTTTGCTTAGTTTCCAAGATCAGCTGGGATCTGATGCAAACTCCTATTGATGCTACCTTCTCTTTTCCTTATTCCATTTGATTACATGATTTTAAATAAGTGGTTTTAAGGTTAAACCGCTGAGCTGCTAACCTTGCCAACTGAAAGGTCGCAGGTTCGAATCCGGGGAGCCCCAACTTCTGGCAACCTAGCCATTCGAAAACATGCAAATATGAGTAGATCAATAGATACTGCTCCGATGGGAAGGTAACGGCGCTCCATGCAGTCATGCCAGCCACATGACCTTGGAGGTGTCTATGTACAACAGTGGGTCTTTGGCTTAGAAATGGAGATGAGCACCAACCCCCAGAGTTGGACATGATTGGACTTAATGTCAGGGGGAAACCTTTACCTTTATTTATGTTTTTAATTATTGTTTTAATGTATATGTTTATTTTACTATGTATGTTCGTAGGGCATGGAATCACTACTTATATATGTAAGCCACCTTGTGTCCCCTATGGGGTTGAGAAGGGTGGGGAATAAATAAATAAATAGTCCAGTGGACAAAAAAACTCCAAATCCCTCTCAACGTCAACCCGTGTGTATTGGGGTGTAGGGAAGGTCTTCCAAGTTCTGCAGTTGAATTTGGTCCTCTGGGATTCCCTAGATAGCTATGCTCTTCTTCCCCATGATGCTATTGTTTGGCGATTTCCAAGTTTTCAGGGAGACTCCCCCCCCCCCAACAAAAATGTCACAAGCCATGTCTGAGGCTTTGTGACTTTGCAAAAAGAGCTTCAAACCAAACTATGTTGGTATTTTTGGAACCACCTTTTTTCCCCATGCACAAAAGGAGCCCCCTGAAACAGATTTCAGCACCATGCAGAAAAATAGTTCTCCAAGAAAGAGGAAATGATTGGTGGCCATAACAAATAATGGATAGCTAGTGGATCAAGTCAGCATTTGTGGGCTATTAGTAACTGATTCATCACTAATTTTTTAACCAGCACTTGCAGCAGAGACTGTATGTTTTTGAACTTATTTTCCTTCAAACAACACTATTATTGTGTTGTTGAAGACTTTCATGGGCGAATCACTGGGTAGCTGAGTTTTCCATGCTGTATGGCCATGTTCCAGAAGCATTATCTCCTGATGTTTCACTCGTATCTATGGCAGGCATCCTCAGAGGTTGTGAGGTCTGCTGGAAATTAGGCAAGTGGGGTTTATATATCTGTGAAAGGTCCAGGGTGGAAGAAAGAACTCTTGTCTGCTTGAGGCAAGTGTGAATGTTGGATTTGACCAGCTTGATTCCCATCGAATGGCCTTGCAGCTTCAAAGCCTGGCTGCTTCCTGCCTGGCTGTTTCCAACAGACCTCACAATCTCTGAGGATGCTTGCCATAGATGTGAGTGAAACATCAGGAGAGAATGTTTCCAGCACATGGCCATATAGCCCGGAAAACTCACAGCAACACTATTATTTTTAATATGAATATTAGCCTATCTCTAGCCTGGTGTCTATGAGATACGTCAAACTATACTTGCAGATCTGCCTACAAAAACAAACAATGACAACTAATAATATTGTCGGTCTTAACATTAATGGATCTTATGAACTCTGTCATTATGTAAGGAACATGTAGCTTTCCTTATCATCTCTCTTGTTAGCAATACAGTGCATTTTCCTCACAGTGATTAGTGTGAGAAATAAACAATATAAGTAAATACCTTTGTTATCAATTCGCACAATCCTGGGTTTGTGTGGGTGTGGGCACAATCACCAAGTGGGAAGAACCAGATGGAAAGCAGTCTTGTGAAAAGATTCGACATGTGTTGCCGCATCATGATACAGATTGGTTTCATCATCTGAGGATGTGTTTTGCAACAGTAATCATACTCAATATGAGAAGAACCACGGGTTCAGAAACCTGGTGCACAGTGTTAGGGCTGCAAACAATGGCACCTATGGCTATGTATCTGAATCCTTTCAAAACAAGCTATGCTCTCCCATCACCATGTATAGGATCCATGAATAAAAACACTGTGCATCACTACGGTATGTCTGAAGAAATTACTTTGGATGGTTATATCAGAACTGAGTTACTACTAGGGGTAAGTACTTACCATGTTGTTGGATATCCCAGTGCTGTAACATATATCCCCCCCACCTCTGCCCCAATATATATATCATATTTACACATGTTAAAATCTAGCTAATGCCAACAGACTGAACATTTGCTAACCTGCTTTGCCCATTTTCCCCTCTTTGCATAAATCCTTCAGCCTGGAACCCAACTCTGTGATGAAGCTTGCTTAGCACCAGTGAAGTTTCCCACATTCAGAGTGACAACATTCTGGGCTGAGATGAGGGAATCAAAGTTAAAATCCAACCCATCTGCATCCATGAGTTCACTGCGGATAATGGACTCCATATCGCATTCCAAGCTCCCATTGAAAATATCCAGGTCCAAATCACTGGGAAATTTATCATGCCCCATGACTGGAAGGCTCAGGCTGTTGGAATACAATGAAGAGCCTGAGAGTGAGTCAGAAAGGGACTGCATAGAGTGGTTGGCAGGCGACTGTTGCTGGTGTTTTGCCGGCCCAATGCTGTTTGAGTCACTTAAGCCCATAGTACCGACGGAATTCGACAAGGCACGACTGCCACTGAGAGAGGAATTCTGGGATTGATGCTGGTGGTGGAGCAGGTTCTGGTTGACCAAACTACCCTGGCTTGGTTGCGCAGCAAACGACATCATTGGATCATTCCGCAGCATAATACTCCTGCGTACGTTCTGGGCAGTCACGGCTGTGCTAGCCTGTGACATGAGTGGATCGGACTGAGTCATCATGACGTCACTGTGGCTGTGCGAATCTGATGCCAGCAGATCCTGCAGCGTTTGGTTATTGTAGTGAGAAATGGAAGAAAATGTTGCTTGCTTGTTCTCTTGGATGGTTTGCATGGGAGACTGACGGAGGGAATTCAGAGATGATGGCCCAAACACACCATTGTTGAAAGTACTCGCTGGAGAACCAAGACCTGAGCCTTTGGAGCTGTATGGAAAACTTGAGCTTCTCTGCATGAGACCCCCTGTGGGAGACTGCTGAGAAGGGGGGAGACTTATATTGTCCAGAAGATCGTCCATAAGGTTATCTGTCAGGCCATCATTCAAGTTCATGGTGCCTGCCATATCAGTCAACCGAGGCAACTCGACATTACAGGGTTTGTTTACCGATGGAGACATGCTGGGCGGGCTACTGTACAGCATGGGGGAAAGCGGAGCATCATCGTCCTGGACTTCATCTAGCTCAGTACTTGCCAGGATTGGAGACAAGCGGCCACTTATGGTACTGGCATTTGAGTTTGTACGGGACCGGAAATCTGTCCATGCTTCCAGTTCATCACTGCTGCGTGACGTGGGGCTACCTGGCCACTTGGAGAGCTGGGTGGGGCTGTCTTCCGTGGTTTCCTGGGCAGCTTGTAGAGATGCTTTTTTCTTGGCTGCTCGTCCTCGGCTCTTTGTATATTTGTTGCTGTTGTCCATTGAGACAGCACGTCTCCGTGGCGCTTTCCCACCTTTCCCTCCATCCGGGTTGATCACCCACCACGAGCTTTTCCCAGTTCCTTCGTTCTGTACCCTGATGAATCGACTGTGAAGGGACAAGTTGTGTCTGATGGAGTTCTGCAAGAACCACACACACAAAAAGACAAGATTTAAAACAGGAACATGTTTCCTTTGATCATCACAATTATCAAAAGAGAACATATAAAAACAGTAGGAAAAATACTACTCTTTCTTGATCTATAGCTACTATTCTTCAAGTGTTTACTTAATGCTACCAGTGTTCTAGGTATTAGACACTAAACTGGACAAAAATGAAATGCTGAGCTTAAAAACTGCCTTTGTAGGAATGCAATTCCCAGAATCCTTCAACCAGCATGGTCACTGTGCATGTTCTCCAAGCATTCTGAGGTTTGCAGTACAAAAAATAGCATTTGCATGCTCTGAATTACCTTAATGTAATTTCCACTTATCGAGATACCACGAATCCCTGGATTAGAGCTGTTCTCTAGGAAAGTGCTGAAGTACTGATGCCATTATTGTAAGTACATGATGCATCTGCTTTCATAAGATTTTCTAAGAACTTTAAACAATAATTCTCTGTGTTCTTTTATTAAAGTTAAAATATTCCCACCCTTCCTTCATTAAACATAACTTTCCATCAAAGTGCTTCACAAAGATTGCTCAATGTTTGTTGATGTATTGGAATATTGCTAGAAACCAAGATGGTTAACAGAGATAGGCAACAACCTTAAGCACCTGTACTTGGAAACCTGTTTTGCAAGAAACTAATTTCCAAGTCAATATGTTCAAGATCAGGGTGTAAAACATGTTAACCCAATCATCTTTTGCAAACAGCACCAGCTATACTTCTCTATCCCATTGTATAGATTACTGCTTTCATTCTCTTTCTCTTAGAGGCACTTCAGTTAGGTAACCAGCCTAATGTTCTCTGCTATACAGAGGTATTCATGTACATTTCTTGAGATGACTTGCATCACATCAAGTTTTTTTTTCATTTCAAAGAATTGGTGGACCTATAAAGTCCAATAATGCCAGTTGCCACAAGAAACACAGGAACGAATAGACCCATTTATTTATTTCTGCATTATATTTAATTTTATATTTATTTCTCCACCTGAACATTTGGAAAAAAATTCCTAACTGTGAGAGCTGTTCAGCAATGGAACTCTCTGCCCCAGAATGTGGTGGAGGCTCCTTCTTTGGAGGCTTTTAAACAGAGGTTGGATGGTCATCTGTCAGGGGTGCTTTGAAAGCGATTTCCCTGCTTCTTGGCAGGAGGTTGGACTGGATGGCCCATGAGGTCTCTTCCAACGATATGATTCTATACATTTTTGAAGCCACACAATTACTAAAGCTTTTTAGGCAGTTTAAGTGTGCACCACAAACGTAAATTATAATATAACAAAAAGGCACAAAAGAAAATAACACAAAGTAAAGTCAGGAGAGGGTAAAATAAAATAAAAAACACAGCAAGGTATCTAGTAAAATTGAGTCACCAATGACTATAAATGTTTGCACTGAACAAATCCATAGTCCAGACGTCCCTATGTCATGTAAACAAAGCTAGCTGGACTAAATTTGATGCAAGACACAGAAAAAGCTGCTAACTAAAAAAGCAATTTCCACCAACTATGTTAATATAAGTCTTGAATTCACATTACCTGAAAAGCGTGAGAGTAAACAAACAAGATTGGATGTTGAACCCACATTTAACAAATAGTATCCCTTTTTTTTAAAAAAAAAGTATAGAATAAGATGGTAGAGTTGGAATGATTTATGAAATATAGAAAAGGATAGGTTTAAATACAACTGAACTTTCTATAAGATTGAACACCATTTAAAACATACCCATTAAAAAGCAGAAGATAAAAATAGGGCAGCTTACTAAGAAAAGCCCTTCTTTGTAAAAACAGTTGTGGAAATAAAAGGGTCTTCACCTTCTGTGGGAAGGACAGTAAGGAGGGAGGCAGCGGGATGCTGGTATTTGCCTCAACTTTGGTTATGATCACAGGACTGAAGCTCTTTCCTTTCTGTTTTTTGTTCCCTACCTTCTGTATCATCTCCTCAACCCCACTGTCCTCTCTCCAAATCACCTGTTTTGCAAATCACCTGAGAACTCCCCCCTAGTCTCGAACTTTCCTAAAGATCAAACTGAGTATTAATTTTATGGTCACAATCTGAATGCCCTCCTCTTTACTTGCAGTTTGCATAGGAAATAAAACCTCTTTTACTTCCATTGGACTTATTTCCAGTGTAGACTTCAGGCAGGATGTGTAAGAGACCCAGACTAGGAGGGAGAGCTATTTGGGATGCAAAGTTTTAAAACATTTATAACAGTGTTTCTCAACCTGGGGGTCAGGACCCCTGGGGGGGGGGTCATGAGGAGGGGTCAGAGGGATCGCCAAAGACCATCAGAAAACACAGTATTTTCTGTTGGTCATGGGAGTTCTGTGTGGGAAATTTGGCCCAATTCTATTGTTGGTGGGGTTCAGAATGCTCTTTGATTGTAGGTGAACTATAAATGCCAGCAAGTACAGCTCCCAAATGTTAAGTCTGTTTTCCCCCAACCCCACCACATTTGGGCACATTGAGTATTCATGCCATGTTTGGTCTAGATCCATCACTGTTTTAGTCCACAGTGCTCTCTGGATGTAGGCAAACTACAACTCCAAAACTCAAGGTCAATACCCACCAAACCTCTCCAGTATTTTCTATTGGTCATGGGAGTTCTGTGTGCCAAATTGGTTCAATTCCATCGTTGATGGAGTTCAGAATGTTCTTTGATTTTAGGTTAACTATAAATCCCAGCAACTGCAACTCCCAAATGACAAATTCAAGCCCACACCCTCCAACCATACCAGTATTCAAATTTGGGCATATTGGGTATTTCTGCCAAATTTGCTCCAGGGAATGAAATTACATCCTGCATATTAGATATTTACACTGCGATTCATAACAGTAGCAAAATTACAGCAATGAAAATAATTTTATGGTTGGGGTCACCACAACATGAGAAACTGTATTAAGGGGTCGTGGCAATAGGAAGGTTGAGAAATACTGATGTATACCTCCCTGTCTGATTGAGTGTGTCTAGTTTAATTGGGACTAACAATGGAATTCAGGTCCTAATAAATAACTTGGGCTTGTGACATCTGGGAACACCATTTAAAATCAGGATATAAATATAAATATTGTGCCCAATTGAATAATGAAGCTGTACAGTAGTTAAAAAGCCTCCTATGAGGATATTGCCAATGCTCCTAAGCCAGTCTGATGATGGTGCTCCTAACAAGTAATTCATCACTTCTAAATGACCCTGTTGTGAAAATAGACTCCTGCTTTAATCTACAAAAGGTCACTGTGTTGTAGCAGAGTGCGGCATTATATATTAGGACCCTCTTCCCTAAACAGCAAATGTACTGGTACATAAATGTGAGCAAGATTCCTCAAAGCAGAGCCAGACAGTCGGCTCACAAGGATCCCATCTCCACCAGCTGTGTCTCATCTTGCTAATCTCTAGTCTTATTTTTTAAAATATAGTGGAGGTGGGAGGGGTGGCTTTCAGGAGTTAAATCATACCACTCTTTTTTATTTTTAAAGTGAGTGGATGCCTTGTTGCGTTGTTGGGAATGATAAATTGATACCACATGTTGGGCCCAGACAAAAAAGCCTCTGTATTCCAGTAGAGGCACTTGCAGCTGGTGTCTGAATTAATGGGCAAGCTCCATAAGGTAAACACGGTATGGAAGAGACTGAAACAGACACTGAGCTCGGAGGAGTGGGGGAAATTCTTGCTGAGGAGGGACTGCCAACTTTCCTTGACTAAAAGAGGAAGAAGAAAAGTGAAACTTTCCAATGGCACGCTGGAAGAGGGAGGGCAATTAGGGGTCCGGATTAAGTTAGCGAAACAATGTAAACACTCCTGAAAGAAGGGACTCAATGACCCCTTCCCTCATCCTTAGGAAATCTAATGAATGAGGAAGGCAGCTGAAATAAAATGTCTAACATCTGATATCTGTGCCATGTAAGGTAATTCTACTCTAAGGAAAAAACCAAAAATACTTCGAAGAACTTGTCAAGCAAGCAACACCTGCTGAAATCCCTTCTCTCATATAACCATTAAAAGGGGTAGGAGCCTCAATCTCCAATTTTACCTGGCAACTATAACCTTTCAGCAGTTGATTCAATAAATCCACTATATTTGGGATAAAGGAATACATTTAAGGTTTGCTTGTCTCCACCAGTTCTGCAACACCAATTCTTTGGCTATTCATAAGGGTTCAAGAAGAACCCCTTTATTTTCAAGTATTATTTTCAGTCTCTAATAACAGGATAATATTTATTTTATTTGCATCCTGCCCTTCTCCAAAGCGGCTCAGGGTGATGTCTCTATAGGGAAACAGAGTCTTATACAATTTATTTTCATCAGTATTTGAAGAGATAGTAAAAAGTAAAGGTAAAGGATTCCCCTTCCATTAAGTCTAGCCATGCCCGACTCTGGGAGGTGGTGCTCATCTCCATTTGCAAGCCGAAGAGCCAGTTTTGTCCGTAGACACCTCCAAGGTCATGTGGCCAGAGGCTATTGGTGCACCTACACTGTACATCTAATGCAGTTTGATACCACCTTAACTGCCATGGCTCAATGAGATGGACTCTTAGGGAAGGGTAAATGTTTTCCCTTGACATTTAGTCTAATCGTGTCTGACTCTGGGAGGTGGTGCTCATCTCCATTTCTAAGCCAAAGAGCCAGCCTTGTCCATAGACACCTCCTAGATCATGTAGTCATCATGACTGCATGGAGCACCATCCCACAGAAGTGGTACCTATTGATCTACTCACATATGCATGTTTTTAAATTGCTAGGTTGGTAGAAGCTGGATCTAACAGCGGGAGCTTACCCTGCTCCCCAGATTCGAACTGCCAACCTTTCAGTCAATAAGTTTAGCAGCTCAGCTGAAATAATGTAGGTCAAAAGACAGTGGCTGAATGAAGGTACACGATAGTTGATTTTGGGTCTTAACTTGGGACTCTGATAAAATCCAGCAGTGCATTTGTGCATCACTCTCTTTTAAAAAGAGAGTGCAAGGGTACATTTA